CGTGTCTCGTAAATATGCTACATGTGTATTGAAAGACTTGTTTCACAACAGTACATGTACATGTACATTGAAACGTGTAAGTGCAAGACTTCTGTTTCACTACATGTACATGTGTACAGAAACGTGCAAGACTTCTGTTTCACTACATGTACATGTGTACAGAAACGTGCAAGACTTGGGCTGCTAGACAAGCTAGAGCCCCGGTTACAATAAGTTACAAGCAACGATAAATCGTGTCAGGGTCGCCGTATGCCAGGACTGTCCGATTTATCGAGCTGAGTTGCCTGTTTAGATGTTCAAATCTATCGTTCAGTTTTCTTTCGATCAGGGAGATTCTTAGTCTTGACTTGATACATTGATTTCCTCCGGATTCTTTCCTTTTGTAATTGGGCTGGCTTTGTTTTTTTCTTTCCAAATCAGGAAGGGTTGAAAAATTCCAGCCCTGACAGACGTACCAGAAACACCACAGGAGCCTGGAAGGCTCGGAACAGTCACGGAACATTTCCCCACAACAAGGCCACCTCACGACCCAAAACAAAGTGAAAACGGTCCAAAGTGTAGAGGGAATAAACCTTTATTCGCAGGACACTGACTTGGCCATGGTGCGTGTGTGTGTGTCCCCCCCCTGTGAAATGAGAAACAGCCCAGGCTGAACAAATCTATCTGTTGGACTTGGCCACTCTCTCCAGCTCGTCTTTCCTTTTGATGGCGTGAGAGTTCGATGACCCCTGGGGACAGAAACAAGTTTTCTGTAAGTTTTACACCACAAATAGGTCATATGAGAGAGAGAAAGAGAAAGAGAGAGAGAGAGAGAGAGAGAGAAAGCAGGAGGAGAAAAATGACACCAGAGCACCCTCCACCCACCCACAAACCTACTGTAACAGCCACCGGTATAAAGGACAAAATGACATCGTCCAAGAACCCTCCCCAGGTGGATGTCTTGGACAAGTTTGACTGAAACTTGTGGTCCCTATAACAGACCCCCCCCCTGTTAAATCAGAAATGCAAGGAAAGTAAGCATTTGTGGACTAATCCAGCTGTGCTTATTCATGGGTAGTTTCCCTTGCCACAAGTACCCTCGAACTCGAACAGGGGTTTTGGCACCGACTTTCTCCTTGCTTCACATCAGAAGAGCTTGGTCCACAGCATCTGCATCGGGTAGTCTCATCTTCTTTCGATCCAGAGCAAACTTTCCATTGGAGTATGCTGCCACTATCTTCTCTCTATCATCCTTGATAATGGTGTGAATCGACCTTTGTGGAATGTCGAACTCACGAACTGATGACAAATCTCTGCCAGGCCAGTGGAGCTTGCTTTTTGTCAACAGCCTGGATTAATTCGTACATTTTGTCTAGATTGAAAGGCATTTTCTCGTGCGCTTGACATCGTTGGTGACACATTACGCGTGCGTGTTGCTAGGTTTGGGGCTAGATCGCTTCACAAGCTGCGTGTCCTTGCAGTGGTATGGTTTGCGTGGGCTTGCTCCATCACTGCGTTTCTCTCTCTCTTACTTTTTACACATTGTAATGTACTGTTAAGTGTTATTGCCTCAGAGTAGGAAAAATCGGGGATTTAAAAAATCCCTGTTATTACCAGACCTGTTATATATGGTTTCCACTGTATACCTTGCATTTATAGTAGACCTACATAATTTAGAATTTATCTAACGCTTGTGTTAATCTAGCATCTGCGTTTGTCGCGGCATCGATTTTTGCATTTTTACAACAACAAAAAGAAACCCAACCTCTTTACTATTACTATTAGAAAGAAAGTTTATTTTCACTTTCGCTTCACTTCGTCTCTTATGGGAAGAATGTAGGCGACATTTTAACTACAGTGGAGTTCACTTATAACGAGTCCTGAAATAACGAGAAGTGTTATAAACACACTGTTCTAAAACCCCGTTTTTCCCCTTCTTCATCCTTGTAAATAAAATGCTGCTATAGCGCAATCAGACAAACATGCGCATGCTGTCTTTAGAGTTTTCTTTTCTTGGCAGGCCCACGATCTATTGAACCACATTTCTTCCTCTTGTTCACAACGCTGGTGCTCTGATTGTGCTCTAGAAAGTGAGGGTAAAAGACACTGTCTACACTTTCATATGGGTCGGCTATTGTTGACTTTTAGTAATTATGGACATTTTTTATTTCGCATCTTTTAAAATAATTTTTTTTTTGCAAGAGTTTTCACGGCAATTTTTCCATTTGTGGAAATCTGCTAATTTGTGGAAGACTGGAAGCACTGACAAGGTCATCTGAGCGCCAGAAGATTAGAGGTGTTAGAACAGAGGAACATAGAAAAAAGGACGAAAGATGTTGGATAGGAAAGAAAGAGCAAACCACACCAGGGCACCCGCCAACCACCCACTGGACGAAAGATGTTGGATAGGAAAGAAAGAGCAAACCACACCAGAGCACCCGCCAACCACCCACAGTAAGAGTTTTATGGCACTTGCAACACAATAAGGTCATATAATGCTAAAGACTAGAAGTGTTACAAGAGAGTTACACAAAATAGAAGGAGGGGAGATAAGGACGATAGATATATGCGAGTGTGACAGACTAGGAAAACATGCTCTAGTCCGCAGACAACAACAAGGGCATTCTTGCGTGTCTCGTAAATATGCTACATGTGTATTGAAAGACTTGTTTCACAACAGTACATGTACATGTACATTGAAACGTGTAAGTGCAAGACTTCTGTTTCACTACATGTACATGTGTACAGAAACGTGCAAGACTTCTGTTTCACTACATGTACATGTGTACAGAAACGTGCAAGACTTGGGCTGCTAGACAAGCTAGAGCCCCGGTTACAATAAGTTAC